AATGTGTTCATCGTGGTTCTTTCTTTACTGAGTTAAAAACCACAACAGTAAGAAAACTCTTGCCTGAATCTTGGGGTATCTATCTATTTTATTTATTTATTTTAATTTTTTTAAATTATAAAAATCAATTCACAAAGACTAAACATCAAAAATTTTTTTTTGAAGGATTCATTTGTCCAGTCCACACACCAGATGGTACTCCTTGCGGATTACTTAATCATTTTTCACATGCTTGTAGAATAGTTACCGAAAGACTTAATACAAATGATTTACCAGAAATATTATACATGTTAGGTGTACAAGAAGCTATTTCTTCAGATTATTCACATAAACCTAAAAAAAATCAATTATGTGTTCAGTTGGATGGGAAAATTCTTGGGTGGTGTGAAAACAAATTTTCTGGGAAGCTTATAGTCATACTACGATCAATGAAATATGATAAGAAAAAAAAAGTATTTATATATACGATAATAAATACGATATAATTATTATTGTTTTATTACATTATAATTTAATTAATTATGTTCGTATATTATATATAAATCAACATGTAAAGGTACCTCTTGATCTTGAAATTGGTTATGTTCCTACTTCGAATGGAGGTCAATACCCAGGCATTTATCTATTTTCATCACAAGCACGTATGATGCGGCCAGTTAGATATTTGGCTAATAATAACATTGATATGGTTGGTTCATTTGAACAGGTAAATTTTTTAAGGAATTTTTAATTAATATATATATATATATTGTATTTATCTAACAATATATATACAATAAATATAGGTATATATGAATATTGCTTGTACGAATGAAGATATAGTTGAAGGAGTCACAACTCATCAAGAGATTTCTCCGACAAACATTCTAAGTATTCTTGCTAATTTAACACCATTTTCTGATTATAATCAAAGTCCACGTAATATGTATCAATGTCAGGTATTTATATATATGACTTGATTTCTTTTGTTTTTAATATTTTTTTTTTTTGGAAATGAGGAAGAAAACATATCGTTAATTAATTGATTAATATAAATATATAGATGGCTAAACAAACGATGGGTACGCCATCAACTGCTATTATGCATAGAACAGATAATAAAATGTATCGATTACAAACAGGTCAAACACCTATTGTTAGGTCTAATGTAATTCACAATAAATATGGTTTAGACGGGTTTCCCAATGGTATAAATGCTATTGTTGCAGTAATTTCATATACAGGTTAGTTGGGATTTAAAATTATTTAGAGAAAACCTCTTTTCTTAGCATTAAAATAATCAATAAATACATCTTTTTTTCTCCATTGCAAAATTTTCAAAAAAAAAAATTTAAGGTTATGATATGGAAGATGCTATGATCATCAACAAGTCTTCACATGAAAGAGGTTTTACATATGGAACCATATATAAATCAGAAGTGATTAATCTTGCTGATTATCGAATAGGTAGTGAAATAAACGTTCATTTTGGTCTTGGGCCAGATGCTCCTGCATCTTTACGTAAGAAGATTGATGATGACGGATTTCCATATATTGGGATAAAGTTGACAAATGGTGATCCTTTATGTACCTACATTGACTCAAAAGGTGTTACTAAAATAAAAAAATACAAAGGATTAGAGGATTGTTATGTGGATAAAGTACGGGTTTTAGGTGATGATTTGGGACTTTATGAGGCTCAAAAAGTCCACATTATGTTAAGAATTCCGAGACCAGCTATCATTGGTGATAAATTTTCTTCAAGGCATGGACAAAAAGGTGTTTTGTCACAAAAATGGCCCCAAGTTGATATGCCATTTACAGAAAGTGGTATGCAGCCAGACATTATCATCAACCCTCATGCTTTCCCCTCGCGTATGACTATTGGGATGTTTGTGGAGAGTTTAGCTGGGAAATGTGGCGCTATGTTTGGTGTGCCGCAAGATTGTACGCCATTCCGATTTGATGAAGACCACACTGCAATTGATTATTTTGGTGAAGAATTGAGAAGAGCTGGATTTAATTATCATGGTAATGAACCTATGTATAGTGGAATCACTGGCGAGGAATTTCAGGCAGATATTTATATTGGTGTTGTTTATTACCAACGTTTACGTCATATGGTTTCGGACAAATGGCAAGTTAGATCCACAGGACCAGTTCATAACCTTACTATGCAACCTATAGGAGGACGTAAAAAAAGTGGTGGTATAAGATTCGGTGAAATGGAGCGTGATTCACTTTTGGCACATGGAATGAGTTTTTCTTTACAAGATAGATTATTAAATTGTTCAGATTATTCACAGGTTTTGTATATACTTTGCAGGTGGGGGGTTTTAAAAAATAATATTATATATTCCTAATTACTAATCATCAAAAATTTTTTTATAATAATAATTTAGTGTCATGTATGTCGAAATTGTGGTTCACTTTTTACTTCAGTCTCTTTTAATACACAATACTTGGCAAAAAGTCAGAGAAATTTCGAGAAACATTCTATGAAATGTAATATATGCGATAACTCTAAGTGGATTGCTTTAATAAAAATACCTTATGCATTTAAATATTTAGCTACAGAGCTTATTAGTATGGGCGTAAAGATTAAAGTAGACGTCAAATCATGATTGGTAATGGCGATTTAGGTATTTCCCTTCTTATGTCAAAAAAAAAAAGATCTTGTATTTTTTTGTACTATATAATTAAATTAAAAAAAACAGACTTATTTTTAAAAAATAATATATATATATATATATATATATATATATATTAAATTGATTGATTGATTTAAACAATGTTTTGTTTTTTTACAAATAAATGAATTTTAATTTAATCATTATTTTGTTTTTTCGAATAATTAAAATTTTCAAGAAGCAATAGTCACTTCAACTTCAACACCAGGTTCGATAGAAATCGAAGTCTAAAGAAGAATGAGGGAAAGGGAAGAGGCAAAGGAAAAAAAGTAGAGGAATAAGAGACAAAAATAAAAAAATTTAATTATTACATAAAAATTCATACTAAAAATAAATAACTTACGATCTGTTTAACGATTTCACTTGGGCTATGTAAATCAATCAATCTTTTATGGATTCTCATTTCATATCTATCCCAAGTTTTACTACCCTCACCACAAGGAGTTTTACGTGTAGTAATACGTAAAACTTTAGTTGGCAAACGTACAGGTCCTTTCACACGTAATTGTTTATCTTTTGCTCTGTTTATCAAATCTGTGCATACTTTTTCTAAAGCTTTGACTTTCCGTGAAGTTAAAGTTATACGAATACGATGAACCTGTCAACAAAAAAGTTTTAATTAATTTGAGGTAATAATAATCTATTTGATGAAAGTGTTGATATAAAATTTAAATTTTTTTTAATCTAATTTATCAAATTTGCCATTATCTACTACCTTTGGAGCTTCGTCGATGTAATCGTCTTTACCTTTTGATGTATTATAACTCATAGTTATTTAAAAGATATTTTTATTAATAAAATTTTAAAAAAAAATTTTTTTTTTTAACAATCGAAAAAAAAATAAAAAGGAAAAGATCATCGATAAAAAAATTTTTTTTTGATTTATTTTTATTATGAAAATTACAAAGCTTCGGGCAAAACCAAAAAAACTTGAACAATTAGGTCCATGTACACCTGAAGTAGCAGCATTATTGACTTGTTGGGCCAATAATACAATGAATTCTTCTGCTTGTATACAAAATGTGCAAGCACTTTCTAATTGCATGCGTAATGTGGTGAGTAAACGATCATTTATATTTTATTAAAATCTATTATTGAAAATTAATCTATTCATCAAATTTTATATATAAATACACATGTGTATATTTAGCCAAGAAAAACGAAACCTCCCAATACTATCAATTATCATCTTTCAAGACTTGGTAAATTATTATGAATCGATTTAATCTTTTTAGAATATTAATAAATGAATGATTAATGATGATGATGATTGGCCGATAAAAATTTTGTATCAAAAAAAATATTAACTAAAAAAATAATATAAATAAAATGTTTTTTAAAAATATTATTAAATCAATTTATCCAAAAAATTTAATTCACCCAAGAAATTTAATTTATCCAAAAAGAATATTTACGAACAATCCATCATTATTGATTTTTATTAATATTAACAACTATATTACTAATAGTCACAGTCACAATCATAGTCTGTATTATAATTATAATACAGTAGCAATCAATGAGAATAGAGAGGAGAAGGAAAAACAAGTTAAAGTGAGTAATTATGAGAACGAGAACGAGGAAAAGAAAAAAAGTTGTGTTGATGAAGATGAAAGAGAAAAGAAGAATTCTAGAAAGAGAAGAGAAGAAAAAAGAAATCAATTACTTAAAGAACAGAGAAAACAATATTATATTGATAATTATGTTGATGTGAATTTTGATCTTTTAAAAGGAAGTTAACATAGAAAATTTATTCTGTTAACTTTAATAAATAATAAATGTATATTAATTTATTAATTTTATTAATTTTCATAGATTTTCCCAAATGGTTATATGGAATTAGAATGCATAGATATGTAAAAAATTTTGAAAATATGAAATGGGAAGAGATTGTTGAATTGGATTCTGAGGGATTAGAACAATTAGGAATTGAAGAACATTTTGATAGGAAAAAATTGTTAAAAGAATTTAGAAATATTAGAAATACCATATATGTGTTGGTAAGTGTTTGTCCCTTTAATATTCACATTATTTAATATTATTATTGTACTAGTAGCAACATGCTATTATATTATTAACAATATTTTTGGTTATATATAGTCATTATATGATAATAGAAATGGCGAGGAACCTTTATAATCCCTAAAATGGAATTTTTTAATTAATCAATTTATTGTCTATAATTTCTAATATTACAATTAATTACAAAAAATAAAATTAATTTATAAATATAGCAAATTAAATAAAAACACTATATTCCAAAAAAAAAGGATTATCTATGTAACTAATAATCCCTTCTTATCATCACCACTATTACCACCACCACTAATATTATTCTACAAATTCGACATGAATTGTAGGTGGTGATATCTTTTCTTTAGGTTTTCTCTTTGGTGATTCATTTGCTACTTCTCTTGTAATTATTGAATGTTTTTCCAATTTTTCTTTTTTTCTAATTTGTCTCGCCAAATCCAAATTATCTGGATACCACCATTGTTTAACGAATGTTATAATATATCTTGGTAACAATGACAACCAAATTACGAATAATAATCCAAACCAAAATATCGGCTCACTGAACAACTGTGCACCAATTCCATATATTGGACTATCCACAAACATCCCGTAAATTGTAACGAACGCAAATACTGAAAAAATTTCTACGACTAAAGATGCCCAAGTAAAAAATGTCCAATGGTAAGTATTATAGCTAACAAACAGATTTGCTATCACTATCACTGAAACTGCTACTGCTGTAGAAAATTCAATTGGACCAGCTGCCGCTCCTTCGATTGTCACCACATTTTCGGACAATATATATATAAAGTGATGGATGAAATATACAACTAACGATTGCCAAATTCCATCAAGAAAATAGATTGTAAACAGGAATTTCGAGTATCTTTTTTGTTTAATGCCCAATATATAAATACTTGGATATCGCAAACAATACGATTTACTGACCGATTGGTCCATTGCACCTAATACAATTACAGGTGCGACTGTAAATATCATGTTGTAAAGTTGTACAAAACTATAATCGTAAAATATATTTCCTGAAAATCTAATATTAATGATTCAATTAATTAGTGCTGATTAATAAACTATTAATATCATTCAATTACGAAAACACTTACAGGCAAAATATTTGATACCATAATACAGGAAATACCCATATCACATTCTTATAAAAGAAATTCAATATCATTTCAGAAATTCTCAAGTAATCCCAATGGCCATGTACTAATAATAAATTTCCAAGAAAACGAAATTGTGGCATAGAATAATCAGCTGCCATTGATGCTTGAACTCCTATAAAATATTTATATGTGAGATATTTAGCAAACTAAATTTTCCATCCGGATATTATAATAATAATAAGTATTATTTTACCTTCTTGTCCAGATATTCCAATACCAACATTTGCTGCTTGAATCATACTTACATCATTAGCACCATCTCCGATGGCCAAAGTTGTAGTCCTTTTACCTGTTCTTATTAGCTCTACAACAAAAGCTTTTTGTAAAGGACTTACACGACAACATATCACTGAATGAAAAGCCTCTGATAATGATATCAATTTGTTTCTAGCACTATCGTCATTTAATAAATGTGCCAAAGATGCACCATCAATTATTAAAGCATGTTGTACATTTTGCATATTATCATTATTATCATCATTAAGATCATCTTCATAATCATTATTATTATTGACTTCTTGCATCTGTTGATTTTGTTGTTGCCCATTAGGTGTCGCAATATTGTTTCCAAGTAAGGAAGCCACTACATCATCTAATTGCTTCATTACGCTATCTTTTTTAGATCCTCTTATAATCCATAATCTCATTTCTTTTGTTAATAGTTGAGCTGCAAATCCAATATTAATTGCAGTCTCTAGCTTATCACCAGTCAACACCCAAACTTTAATTCCTGCCTCTCTTAATGACGTAATACATTCAGGCACTCCTTCTTGGAGTTTATCCTCGATTGCTGTTGCACCTAACAAAGTTAAATCCTTTTCTATTTCTTCAGAAATTTGGTCAATTTTCTGTGATCGATTTTCTAAAGATGTCGATGCCTCATTGTATTTTTGTGACCATGTTTGATAATGCGATTCATCTATTTTACGATATGCCAAGGTCAATGTACGAAGTCCTAAATAATATTAATGGTTTTATTAAAAAAAAAAATAACGATAATAACGATTTAAAGAAATTTATATTTATAATTTTAAAAGTTACCATAATTAGAAAAAACATCAATATCATTGGAAGTTTTTTCGATTAAATCATCTTGCCCAGGAGCCAATAGTTCAAAAATGACGTTATCAGCACCTTTACAAAACAAAAGGATCTCGCTACCTAATTCTTCTGGACTTTTAACAATAACACTCATTCTTTTACGAGTAGAATTGAATTGTAATATGTTGAGGATTTGGTAGGTATATTCTTTACCGAAAATATCGATTGTGATAGAATCAGTAGACCTACCCAAGAATACAAATCCAAGATTTTTAGCTGCCGAGACAAGAGCTGCCTCATCAGGCGATTCAGCTTTATATATAAGATTTTTTTCTAGTGATTTGTCAATTGGAATTGCTTTAATGGTACCAGGATTTGATGGGCCAACTAGATTTGTAACTGAATCAAGAGCTTTCAATGATGGTAGTATACTATTAATATTAATAAATGATTCTCTGACTTTTCTCTTTGCTTGATAAATATATGAACCATTTTCATCATCATTATTATTCACATTATTATCATTATTATTATCATTGACATTTATGTTTTCTTCACTACTAAAATTTGATTCTTGATCTATTTTAGTATCATTATTATCGTTATTAGTATCGTTATTATCATTGTTATTATCATTGACATTATCATTGCCATCATTATTATTATCAGAATCAACAACTACAGTATGGCAAATTGCCAATAAGGTGAAAAATTTTGTAATCAAGCCTGCTCTATCTATCAAATCTTGATGATGACTGTCATCACCACTGCTACTGCCGCCAATGTTATCGTCATTGATTTCATATTCAATTTTACTATCGTTATAATTATCTTTTTTTTGAGCTCTAAGATCTCTAAATAATTCAGGATCAGCAAATGACAAGAAATTGGAATCGGTACTTGAATATTTTGGTTTAAATGTTTTTGTTAACTCTCGTAAATAATCATTAAAAATTTGATCTTTAGATGACTTGTTATTATCGTCATCACCATCAACAACATCAACCTGACTTTGTATCATTTCTTTTCCTCTTTCAGCATCTGTTTTATCACCCCAACCATTTTTACCATATATTTTAGCACCAATAGAACATTGCCTGAATTCCATTATGTTACGTGTGAGTGTACCTGTTTTATCAGAAAATATATATTCTATTTGTCCTAGATCATCTGATAGATTCCACTATTGATTTTGTGATTAAAAATTTGGATTAAAATATGTAGAACTTTTTTAAAGAAAAATAATTAATATACTTGCAGATTTTGGAACACATGAAGCCTGAGAATCTTCATCCCACATATCAAGATCATTATAAATAAAAAATGCCTAATTCGATCCATAAATATTTATATATAAAATATTTTTTTAAATAAAATATAATTAATCAATCAATCAACCAATCAACTAATTACCTGAACTATTCTCACAAATTCTATTGAAATGTATAATGAGATTGGAATAATATTTTGAAAAATAATTAAACTTGCCCTGTTAAAATATAATTTTATTTTTAAAATTTAAATAATTATTTACTTTTTTTTTTTTTAAAAAAAAAATAAGAACAACATACCAAAAAGTGACAAATGAAGCCAATTCAATTGAGTCTCTATTTGAATCTAATCTTTCAACAGCATCAGGTACTTGATCTTTCAATACATAAGTTGATATAGCACTTCCTATTGCGCAAGTTAACGCAAGCATAATAAGAATGATAAAATTTAAAATAACCTTTTGGAAAATAGGGGTAAGAATTAATTGTAAGATTAATATGAATGTGTATATTTTAGATTTCAATAATTAATTGATTTATAATAAAATTACCTCATGATTCATTTCCTTCTCAATTCTACTACGTTTACTTGGAGTTTCGCCAGAATTAAGCATAATTTTTGTTTCAATGCCAGTAAAAATAGTAATTGCTATTACCCATTTTGTATTTCTAATAACATGAGCTCTTAACAGCAAATTATTTACATCTAAAGGTACTATTCTTTTTTCTTCGTCAATAGCTTCTTCTTCTTGTATTTCACCTTGTTGCACCGATTTATTTTGAATTAATACAAGTTTCGCACTGTAAGAATACAAATTAGAATTTGGAGCTTCTGATTCAATATAAAATTTCAGTTGTGTACAATCTTTAGCACTGTTAATGATATCTTTTGTATCAGGCACACATCTACGAGGTTTTAGATTAGTTTCACCGTCAAGATCTTTAGTTTCAACATAACAAGTTCCTGACTGTTCTGATGTTGATAAAATTATTGAATCAGCAGGTACAACATCTCCATTCCTAAGAAATATGAAATCACCAACACGAACATTTCTCCATGTAGTTTTTTTAAACAATGGCTGACCATCTATAGTATTTGACGGTTCTGATGGTGGAGATTCTTCATCAACACCTTCTAGCCGATCATTATCATCATTATCTATTTGTTGTTCATTGTCATTATTATTTTGCTCGATTTGATCAATTTGTCGTGTATTATCATCATCATAATTATTGTTGATTGATCGTTTTTGACTTTTGTCGGATTTAAAGAATAATTTATACAATATTTTTTCCCAAGCAGTAATTAATTTTTCTCGAGGATAATTTACATTATAAAAATTTTGCAATACATAACAAGTATCACTATTGAATTTCTTGTCTATTTCATGTCTATTTCTATCCTCGATAGCATCTTTCATAGCAGTGAAAAAGACTACAGTTGATAAAGGGAGAACAGTCAAAATGGGGTTGTTTGTTGCAAGTTGTGGTAAAAGTCCAAGTATGGCCATGAATAAAAAATACATATTCGCAGCTTTACGAAACTGTTCAAATAAATTTTTTGGTAAAAAAGTCCAAATTGTATATTTCGAGGTTACTATTTTATTTGTCACATATTTAATTTTTGGATTCCCTTTATGATCTATGTCGGTTTTTGGCAATTCTAAATTAGCATGCACTTTACGTTCTTTTTTACTTGCTTTTCTTTCCTTAATTTTTGATTTTTTTCTCTTGGTCTGTTTTTTGGAAACCTTTTTAGCTTCATTATTGATAGACTTATTATTAGAATTAGTAGCAGTAGTTGTGTTTATATTAGAATTATCGTTATCGTTATCATTAAATTTAAAAATCGATGGCATGATAAAAAAGTGAATATAAATGATCTTTACATTAATATTAATAATGAAATTTTTGAATTATTAACACGCATGGATATAATGAGCATAGTGAGTGAACATTTATATTGGTTGGTAGTACTCGTGTCAATCACTTTGTATTAGTATGTATGTCACAATAAGGGGACCTCGGAATAGATTCTGTCTATCCCGTCTTTATTGTATATTATTTTTTAGGAAGTTTGCGTCACAAATACCCAAAATGTTACAATGATGTTATTTAACGGATTATCTAAAAATAAAAGATGCAGTGCAGATCGTCTATACCAAGGTTGGCTATGATACCGATTCATTGATGGTCATTGGACCCATTGGTGTAACAATTTAACCATATGGAGTAATTTATTAATAGCGTAGCAACATGAATTTTTTCCATTATTAATTTGACGGACAATCCTTTAAAATCGGTACCCACCGACCATCCTAAACCATTAAACATTCCCATTATCATCTTTAATATTTAAAAGTTTTTAAAAGTTCTTCAAGGTATTTTTTATTTACTCTATTTCCAACAATGTTGCAATCCTGTTTTTATATTCATTGTGTTTCACGTTTTATAGGGGGGGCGACATTTATATGTGTAGCATTTGTTGATAATATATCACCCTTTTCGGAAAGACATTTACCATATTTACATATTAATTAATTTCTTTTTTTGCCCAAATTGAAAAAGTGATTATGGAAATCATTTTGACTATAAATGAATGAGCATGAATAAACAAATTAACGAGTTCCGATCATTTATAATAAAGGTGATCTCATATATACATGACCTTCTTAATTTGGATGTGGAACCTATAGAACATGAATTAACAAGGGTTCACGCACATCATAGATGGCGCTTCCAAATTAGGAAGGTCCTGTATATAGGATTTTCCTTGTAATTTTTCGAGAAAATGGTTTTGGGATTTAAACTATCAAATGCTTTTATCATTGACTGATTTTGGTTTCAATCAGATTATCTGTTTGTTACCGAATTTTATTGTATCATAATTCACTTTTAAAACAGATATTATTACCTTTAGATGCTCAACTAAAAACTTTGGAAATTTCAACTATTTCTTGTCTGAAAAAATCATGTGACTTTTTGATGCTTACCCAAAATTTTACCATCTAACTAATATACTAATATGACGATTCTCCGGGTTCTTCTGTTCAACTTCACTAAGCACTTTATCTTCTTTAGAGAACTATACCATATCAGACAACATTTCTTCGTCTTTGTAAAAAAATAAATTGTTTTTCCAAAAAAAAAAAAATCAATCGCGTCAACAATATAAAAAAACCAATAGGGGATTTCTTGTACAACCCATATAAAAATCAATTCATTTTCATTTGGATCAAAATCTTAATCTTGAACAAATAAATAGATGATCAACCTGTCAGAGCCAGGGTTGGCAAATTGACTGGTCCATTGAGAATTGTGTACTTTGGACTGATCCATTGCCATTAATAAATACTAAATATGGTTAATGGTTACATTAATGGGCTCAATAGATCACCAATGGACCACCAATGGACCACATATTTGCCAACCTTGGTCAGAGCTCCTAAATTATATCAAAAGTATAGATACTTCGAGTTTCACGAAACCAATTGTCTCAATTGATCTATTTTTAATTTTGAAGAATCTTTATGAAATGGTATATCACATATTATTAATGAATAAATCCATAATGAAACAAATAATGATAATAATACCGATAATAACAATCACTTTGAGGTTATTGACAATAATGACATTGATATCAACAATATTGAGATGACTGATAATAATAGCAATCAATCAATTCATAATAATTGAATTGAAATAAATAACAATTCACAATGTCATTGAAGAAAAAGGTGGTTGGTCACACCATGAAATAAATATCCTAGTAGAATTTATTTTAGACAAAAAAATTGAAATGAGAAAACTCAATCACAGTCAACCCCCTCTAAGTGCAACCCTCCTTGAGAACATATCACTATTTCTCATGAATGTGCATTTAGAGAGGGTTTACATAGTGAGTGCATTTAGAAAGTGTGCACTTAGAGGGGGTTTACTGCAGTTGAGTTTATATAGAACTAAAGATGCAATATTAAATAAGAGCAGAATAATCAAACGGCAAATAAGAAATTTATTTAATGTTTAGCACATTGCAAAACCTTCAAATAATTTTTTTTTCAATAATTCAAAATAAAATAAATTGATATTCGCATTATATTCAGTTGAGTTTATATAGAACTAAAGATGCGATATTAAATAAGAGCAGAATAATCAAATGGCAAATAAGAAATTTATTTAATGTTTAGCTCATTGCAAAACTTTCAAATATATTTTTTTTTGATAATTCAAAATAAAATAAAACGGGCATGCTGCAACAAAACCAGACAAAGTGAACATTGGTATAACCAAGAATTTCAGGGATCAAAATTTAGTAATGTGATTATTATTATTAAAATCTCCCATTCGTTCATTTGTTTGTTATCTTTGTTTTTTCCTTGATATATAGAATCACCTCTATATAAAAATAGTTAATATGAAGCTAATTTACATTAGGTCTACTATGGAACCCAAGAATTATAGTACCATTAGAGGTATCCTGAAGAAAGAGCAAGGTGAAATTGCTCCTTATATTTTCAAAATAAATGACACTCAAACACTGGAAATTTATCTAAAAAAAGAAAGGATTACTTATGAAATTTACCAAGAAGAAAGGAAAATAATAAATGTTGGAAAATGAAAACATCATGATGATGCATTATTACCTAATAAAAAGCAAAAATCTTTAAAAGGAAAATAACTACCATTTCCTTTAATAGTTGGAATGAATTTCAATTTATAGAGAGGAAAATTATTTTCTTATTTTCAATCAAGATCATCTTTTAGTCTCTTTGACTTCAATTTGAGCAATTTGACCATTCTGTTGATCTTTTAATTTCCTTGTTTTCTTCTTCCAGATGATTAATTTTTTCTTCTAAACTTTTTATCTTATCTAATAACTCCTGTTTTTGCTTTTTACTTCACTCTTCAGATTTTTCCTGAAACTTGGCTATTTCTTCTCTTTCAATTTTTAATTCTTCTTTGGTAATTGATAACTCTTTTTCTAGTTCTCTAGTTTTATTTTCTAGGCGAAAACTGAAAGCTTGTGAAAGTAGTTCTTTGTCAGAAAGTGGTTTAGTTGATTTAGCTTTTAAATGACTACAAAAACATCTGTTTCTATTCCTTTTTAACCTACCACATTTCTCACATCATGGAAGAGTATTATTATCATAATCATTTTTACATTCACCACAGATAAAGACAATGTCAGAATAACCATCAGGAGTATTATGAGCCACCATTTGATGAGTAGCAAGAGCAGTATCGAAATTAAGGAGAGTTGGGTCATCAAAATCTAGAAAACAGAAATTACACTCTTGTTCATCTCCCTGGGCTATTTCCAGAATTCTATATTCTAATCTCATATTGGCTTACCTGTTCTTTTGAACAATAAAAGTCTGAAACTTCTCTTTAGTTTTTTCTTTTACTTTATTTACTAATTTTTTGAGTTTACATAATCTACTTTCTTTTTGTTGTTTTGGTAGAGCTGGTAATTCTTTGGTTGCTAAATAATCTTTTCAGTTTATTTCCTGATTTTTAGCAGCTAAATTATTTTCCAATAAATCTATTTGGTCTTGAAGTTTGCCCATTGCAGCATCATGCTTCAACAAAGTTTCAAACATTTGTCATTTTCTCCATTCCATGGCTTTATTTAGTGCTTTTTCAGCCTCTTCTCACTCCATTCATACTCCGTCATCTAACTCTTCTACTCTTGCTTCCAATTCCTCCTTTTTTGCCTCTAACTCCTCAATTTTCTTTTCATAGTCTCTCTTTTGTTCATAAAGTTTACTATTGGTTCTGCTTAATTTTCCAACATAGTCTAATCATTCTGAACTTAACTCATTAGAACTATCAATAAATCCATCTAACATCTCTTCAATGGTAATATTGTCAAATCAAACTCTTTTACAGTTTTTAGCTCATTCCCTAGTTTCATTAGCATAGTGGACTTTCGATTTTAACACTAAATGTGACATAAAGTGACGATCATATTTATATTGTGCAACTAACAAAATTAATTGAAAAAGTACTTTAAAATACTCATTAATGTAACATAAAAATTACACAAACAAAAATGCGTGAAACTTTGCATAAACATTCTTTGGGTGCTTTATATACTGAAAGTTATTTCCCATCAAGTACCAATGATTCAAGAAGATTCGTAATATTCTTAAAATAATGTAATCACCAATTAATTTGTTTATCTTCATTTTGTGAATTCCAATGATATGGTGGAATATCTATATCTGGTAATTCAATGTTTGTTTTTACAAGTTGAAATTTTAATTTTAGTGAATTAACAATTGCTGTCATTTGTTCAGTTTTTATCTCTGAGATAATTATTGATTTATCAACAACCAGTTCATTTTCTACTTTTGACAATCTGACTTGGTTGCAGCATAGATAAAAATCCTTTTATGGATAGATCTGCGTTACACACATTTATTTCAAAAAAAAGATCAACAATTTATGTGAAGAGTATTGTAAAATTGAAAAAATACCACTTAGAAAAGTGGCGCTGCACAGAATA